GACAGATAAGCAAAATTTTTTGAATTAATGTGATCTTGCCATACTCATCACATTTACTATGTATATTTTACGTCAAAATAATGTCTTTCTGTAGCATTTATATCACTGTGTCATAGCAAGTAATGATGATAAACAGCATTCTGTCTAAATCAAACTTTTAAAAACAGGCTTTGTTTAAAAAAAAAAAAAAAATTCTACTGGTGAGTATGGGGCTGATTATTAAAACTTATGAGTGCTGTGGCTTTTGATATGTAATTGACTGAAAGTTTTCTAGGTGGTTTTGCAGTATTGATGTTCTGAAAATAAAAAGGGTTCTTTAAAGTGCTGCCTTCCACCAGGAACTGCTCTTTGCTGGGTAAATGCTTGTCAGCAGCCTCAGCAACTTATATTCACCTCTTCTGTATGTATTTGTAACGCTCCTTGCTCAAAGGTGCCCAGCACATGAATTACATGCCTGAAGTACTTCCTTATCCTTCAATGCTACATTTGCTACAATAGATTTTTTTTTTCTCTGTTGAAACTTTTATCTAGCCCTTATTGCAGAACAGCTGGACACCTTTAGTCAGCACTGCACCCCTCCTAGGTAGAGTGGCCATCATCTTCCTCTTGTAACAGTGAAGCTGGGGTACCACTACAGCCTTTGTGCTAGATGTTGCTTATGATAAAGCTGTCCTACAGAATAGAGGACTATTCTGACAGTGAAAATATTGTTAAAGCCACTGTAGGAGGAAGGTTTGTGGGATGAAGCCTTTAAGGGCTGACTGAACAGCTTCAATTTTTTGGAAACCTGGTGTGTAACACATTGGTCTTCCACAGTCCATGTTGCATGGAGTCTAGGAGCTTCACTGTGTATAGCAAAGCTGAGGAGTAAGATGATCATGAAGGAGGATGTGTTTATTATCAAAGCAAATCAAAGCACCCAAGAAAGGACTGCATTTGTATGCAACCAAACAAAAACAGAAGCTAAATTCATAGGCAGAGACTATGATGTTACAAATCTATTAAGGAAAAATAAGTTTGAAAGTAGAGCAAACTAATTATTTTTGAGCATGATTATCTCAGTCATGATAACATTAAAATGCCATCAAAAAGGCTCAGGTCATAGGTGTTCTTTTACAACTTTTAATTTTTATAAAGTGTACACATTTGTTATTTGGGAATGGAGCGAAGTTTGTGGGTGTTTTGTTTGTTTTTCAGGATAGCTATGCTCTAAAGTTTACTTAATATTTTTTAGACATATATGTTTGTTTCCGGCTTTCTAATTTCTAATGAAATTACCTGAAACCAGATGTACAAATAAGAACTCTGTTAACCTTAAGCACTTTTCATCCAGAATCTGGAAGACAAGCTGATTCTTACTGCTTTTTGCATCGTACCCTGTAACACTGTGTAGCTAACTACCCAGTTTCTCAGGGTAAACCTTGTAAAACAAATAAAATTCACCTATGCCTGAGTTATGTCTCTTGTTCTAGGTTTTCCTTTGGGGGAAATCCAAATCCCATGTAGTGAGTATCCCTTAGTGAGATAATTATTGTCCTGCCAGGTTGCTGTAAACAACACATCTGATCAAAAGCAAGGAAAATAGTGTAATTGCCAGATGAGTTGTTGGAAGTCCAGTTTACAGTAGTATGCATTTTGAAATATGTCTTGAAATAGCTTATTTTGGCTTAGTGGATATGGGATATTTTGGATGGGGCTTGGTGCTCAATGGATATGAAAGACCAGACATGACACAGGAGTCTAGGAGAGAGAGAGAACACCAGAGGCCTGCTGTCAGTTGTACTAGCAAAGCAGGTAAGAGACTTGGAAGAAGAAAAGGCTACAGATCCAGTTGTAGGCAGGGTAAATATTTTAGGTAAACTTTTGTCCTTTGTTTTAAAGCTGTACTGTTTGGTTTCTTGTGTTTTCTAATTTCAAAGAACCACCTGTGATAGCGAATGGGGCTTATAATGGCTTTCAGTATTCTGTAGCTTTTAGTATTTTGTCTTTTTGCGAGAGAACAGATTGAAATGTGTGTGCATTCATATCCATATTTTGTTCAGCCATTATATTTTCTTGGGTCAGAAGCCTCTGAAGTGCTCTTGGTGTCTGCATATACATTATGTTTGTAAATGGCCTTTGTCTTTTGAAGTATTCTTCTGTGAAGATTATTCATAGGTGTGAAGACAATGTGTTTCTGAGTCAAGGTTTGTCTGTTATTGCTTTCCTCCCCCAAGTCTTGCTGGAGTAGCCTTTGCACTTGCTTTATCCCTGGGATTCCATGGTAATCTGGCAGCTGGATTCATGTCTCTTTTTATTTGTGTTTCTGATAGCTGTTCTTCAGTGCTAGCATCTTCAAAAACATGTGTTGTTTCTATAGCCTGAAAAACATGAACCCACTGGGGATTACATGTGTATGAGATAAAATTTTCTCTGGTGTAAAGCCAAACAGGCTTTCTTCCTTAGATGGCAGAATTGTTAGATAGCAGTTTTTCTGCAGTGTGTAGCCATCAGTTGCCAATGTCTTGAACATCTGAGATGAAAATGAAGATAAAACAATTTTGGTCTTGGTATTGTGCAGTTTTAATGGGAAGGTCCTTACTGCCTCTCGTGAGAGACTATTTCAATAATCTGAAAGTGTTGAAATAATCAAATTTTGCTTCTTTACTATGGAAAACACCACCACTGCAGTTTAGTCCTTTTATTCTCATATATAATTTCTTTTGTAAGTCTATTTAAAAGACACTGACAAAACACCCAACTCTAATTTAGCAATGTTTGTTGCCAAGCACGTGCTGCTTCTTTGGCTCCATGTTTGTTATTTGATGCCTTGATCATGCTACAGAAAGTGTTGCATCTGTTCAGTTCTGGTAGAGATTGTTCATTTCCTTCTGTTCAGATGCTGACTTTTCAAGTCTTAACACATTGTTTGCTTTGTTGCTTTTTCATTCACAGCCCCATTAATAACTAGAAAGCAGGCAAGGTTTCCTGAGAGTTGTGCAGTAAAACAAAGTACTGTTACTTCTAAGTATGTGGAAAATATTCTTCACCTATTTGACTATCATGTCCCTAATGCTGAGTAAATAGTATTAATGTGCCCAAACAGGTCCTCATGGTGATATTGAGAATGTTAGAATTTGCATCCGAGGCAGATATGAGTTTTCTGATAGGTGAACAAAAGGATAATCTTCTGATGGTATTATTTTGTTCAGTTGTCTCTTTATTTCTGTGTTCCCCAGTAAAATGTACACTATTTTCTGAAGTTACTAAGCATTTATCAATTAGTTTTTTGGCTGAACCTCTGGCCAAAAGAGCTTCCTTTGTTTTACCAGCTTTGAAGTTTTCTCTCTTTATTATAGGTTTGTCAGTGTCATATGTAGCAGGATTCTTAGTCTCAATTTCTGGATGGTTGGAACAATGTTTGAAGTGTGAAAGGAAAGCTTGATTTCTAATAATTTAAAGCAGACTGCTCAGTCCTTAGGCAGGTCAAAGAGGGACCATATTAGTCTATCCTCCCCTGTCATTGAAAAGGAGCTAACTGGGTCATCCAGCCAGAAAGCTTGATCATCGCTGATTTAAGGTGTTGTAATATTCGTATTCTCTATCTTAGTAACACCTTTTGAATGAAGTTGTGGTCAGCAAAGAGAGAAAAATGACATAAATGTGTCATGGCTAGCTTCATACTATATGGATTTATTTAATATTTATTTCTTTAATATTTGATTCAAATATACAAAGAAACACCAATGGCTAAAAACACTTACCTATTACTTTCTTTGAGACTATACCATTAGATTGTGCAAATAAAAAAGACACTAACACTCACAGTACAATAATAATAAATGTTTTTTTAACAAGTTGTAAGTGCAAATTAGAAGATAAATTCAAACTATTAACTGATGTGCACATAATATTTTGTTTGTTTGTTTTCTGGATGATTTTGTGCTATTTTTAATAGTAGTTTGAAAAAGGAAGGCTTTAAAAGTTGTACATGTTTGAAAAAAGCGATCTGTTACACAATAACAATTGTATTAAACAGAAAAAGAGCAACTGTTACTGGAAGTTACAGTTAATTGTTGTATTTTCCAGCACAAGGTTGCTTTGTGGGAACAGTGGGGAAAAAATGCAAGCAACTGCCAAAAAACAAGCATGTGAGGTGAAACTTGAATTTGCTCTCATGAGAACTTTCTAAGATTCATAAGTAACTGAGAAAAACATGTTGTATTTAAATCTCTGGAGATGTACTGTATAGAGACAGAGCACAGCACACAGTTTTGGCAGGAGAAAGAAAGAACAGAAAATCAGAAAGACTGATGGGAAGGTAAGGGTCATCAGGATGGATGGAGGATAAAATGCCTGCTGCCACTTCAAATTGTTTGGTTTTTGTTTGTTTGTTTGGTTGGTTGGTTTTTTTGTGGCTTCCTGAGTAAATTTGAAAGTTTCAATCTTTCCCTCCTCCCTTGCCCTCACAGAACAGGTTTTCATGTGCTTTTTAAATGAAACAAGCAAAGCATGTCCCTGTTACAAATCTGTAGAGTAGAAGATAAATAAATTAGCTTGGGGCATTTTGTAAGCACTGTAGGCCAAATCTGATGATATATGCATGCCTTAAAAGCAATCTCTGGAGAGGGACTTAAGCAAAATATCCCACCTAGTTTCTGGCTATCGTTAGACCGGTGGGAAAGCTGTGGCAGAAAGTGTCCCTAGGCAGGCTGCAGACAGGAACAGGAGAAGGTCCAGAGGCAAGGAGCCTGGCCCTCTGGTTGTTGCAAGGGTGCCTCCTGGCCTGGAAATGGCCATCACTCATATGTGAGCATTTCTCTGCTTTGGCACTGCTTCTGACCCACAAAATCTGCCACAGGGTCTGCACTCTGGGAATACAGCTTGTTAGTCAATGTGTTCTTCCAGCAAAAGGCTGTAAAATGTTGTAGGTCACAATAGGCAGCTATTTATTTCTTAATAGATCTTTAGGTGCCAGAGGGGAGAGTTTTTTTACAAAAATAGCACTGGAATGCATTTAATAAGGATTGACTCTTTATTTTTAACCACAACACACTCATCCAGATCCACAGTCAAAACTACAAGAAAGTACAGTTTCCACTACACTCTGAGCTCGATTCTCTGAGCACTTATCCTTGTCTGTATTGCCTCCCGTTGTGAATAATTCCACTGGCTTCTATGAAACGACATGCAGTAGCCAACCTTTAACCCAGTACTATTTGCAGGATCACTCTCCAAATTACTTCAGTACTAAGTTTAGCTCTAAAGAACAAACACTTTGCCCAAAAAAAGACAAAGAACAAACACATGTTGAAAGTTGAGCAATGCTCTCAAAATGATTTTTTTTTTCAACATTAAAACAATCAAGCCTGAAATAATATTAATTCATTAACCAGAATATCTTACAGTTTGAAAAACTATTTCTTGTTGTCAATAGTATTATATTAATTCAACATGTGTGACCACTGAATATCAGTTGATATTAGAAAATTGCATAGTTTATGCAAAGTAAAAATACTTGTTTGTTTTGCACTAAACAGATCATGATGTCTGTGTAAACGTATGGCATGAGATGATTATTATTGTTCCCATTATATTCTGGAGATGTTCATGGTTCTGTAGTTAAGACTCACCTGAGTTTTGTCCCTAAAGCAGGAATTAATTCTTACACTTACAAATGTAAATTATGTAAAATCTGAGACAGGTCTATAACACCTTATTCCTGAATGAAATTCTGGCTTTTGTGAAGTCAGGATGAATTGTGATATTAGTACCATGTGTCTTCAAAGAATTTACAAACATAAGTAATGGTTAATAAAAATTTAAAAATAAGTTCTTTAAGCAAACACAGAATTGACAACAACTTGTTGAGAGCGTATTTTAGATATTGCTATGTTATCACATTAGTGTGTCACTGTTTATGTTTTGCATGTTGATAACTTCAGATGAGTAAATATCACTTTTTTAGAAATTCAGTGCATAGGAATGGCATAAGTAGGAGAAAAAAGATTTCACATTGATTTACAGGCAGTATCTATCGTGATCATAAGGATTTTGAGAAAGTGTACAACTTTATGTACATTGACCAATGCACAGACACACAGTAATTGGGAGCTGGTTGCTCAGTAGGTTGTATAAATAAACTGTCCCTTTCTCATTCTTGATGTATTCTGCTTTTGCTCTCGTTTTTCATGATATATTAAAGGAAGCAATATCATGAGGCATATAAAACGAACTGACTATGCAAAATTGTAGCACAATAAGTGATAACCTGCCCCTACCATTCTGAACAAAATTGGTTACTTCTGGTTACTTAGCTGTCTATTTTCTGCACAGATATTTCATGTTAGATGTTGGCATCAGTGGAAGAGGAAGTGCCTTTCAGATCTGAGGGTAGCCGTCTGACTGTTTCTACCTCTGTAATCCCTCTCCAGACACAGATGGTTGGCAGACACCTAGGAGTGCTCCTGCCAGGTATCACCGAAGGGTGACAGCGCTCATTGCAAGGGGGAGCAAAAGGAGCCTCAGTCTGCAATTGGTTTTACATACCATCTTATTTTATGTAATGCAATTCATCAATATACAGGACAGCTTGTATGTGCTGCCAATATAAGGCCTAGAGTTAGGAATAATTTCCACGTTGTACTGTTGATTCTCCTGTATCCGCCTCTGCTCAGATTGAGGAGTGATTCTGTAAATGCTCCCTTCTTGCCATTGCTGCTCTCCAGATAATGATATAATGCAGCTGTATCGGTTTTTAACCCACAGCAGAGAAATGCTGAATCAAATGAGCATTTTGCACATGGCTGATATGGTCTCTAGTCAACCCGAGTTCGTTACTGTTTTGTAAGTTTTCTTCAAAAACGTAATTAAAATTGGAATTGTACTCCCTTGAGTATACAGCAGCATCTGACTTACAGCTGCAGCAAGCAAAACTTTGCTTGACCTGCTAATTCTACCCTTTTGCTGCTATGAATTCGCTTGGCATACCAGGGAGCATGATAAAGACATGTAGTGACACAGGCCTGATCTGCCCAAATGCTGAGGCAGATTCTGACCACAGTATTTTCTAAACCACTATTGTGGTTACCTCACCAAAGTACACAGGCTGTTACTGGCAACATGAAGGGTTCCTCCCTTTAGGAGTGAAATCAGAAAATAGTGTGGAATTCTGGGGAGCAGAGTTCTAGGAATTGAAAAGGAAGAGCACACTAAAATGAGTGCATTCAACTGGTACCCTGAAGTTTTGCCATGAAAATAGCTCAGGAACGTCACTGAATAGGACATGTATTTATTCATGATCACTGCCACCAACCATATATGTATGTATATATTAGAAATGAACTTTGATTTAATTGAATACATTCAATTCACAATGATTAAACAGAAATAATTTCATTTTTCAAGGCTGGATATTAAGAAAGCGGTGTATGTCCAACCACTTCTCCTTAGTGAGAGAAAACCTATATCTCCAGAACTCTGATGTGGATCTGGCCTTTTTTGGGGAATTCAGTTCTACAACTAGTTCTGAGATCAGTTTATAATTTTAATTACTGCTACCAAAATAAAAATTGCTCCCACAAAGCAGATTAAATCACCCAATGTAGATCATCAGCTGAAGTCCTCTTTAAAGCTTATACAGACATAGGCCTTGTGCTGACCTCTGCACAGTGTAAGACTCTGTTGCTGGCCCATCTCCACAGGAATTAATTTTATCCAGAAAGCACAGTGGAAGAGGTTCAGATTAATATTCTAGGTTAGGCTTTTAATACTGGATAGCATAAATGTAATGTAAATAGTTTAAGAATAACTGAACATTATCACAACGAAGAACCTGTGCAGAAGTACAGCTTTGTCTTTTTAGTGTTGATCTATTCACACACAGTTTTTACCTTTTGTGATCATATTCTGAGTTACTAAACTTCATCACTGCTGAGTTGATTTCTTGCTGTTCAATTAGTGGATCCATAAAAATTTAATAAGTTATTTAAAACTACTTCAATTGACATTTAAGCAATTCGGGTATTGTTTCTAATTTTCAGACAAGCCATTCTTAAATAATGGCTATAGAGAGAGATGCTCTTACACATTAATTCAGCACTGAACCAATTAACTACCTGGGCATGCAGTTTCATAATAATATCTCGTCTATTCTCAGGTAATTAGGCAACATGATTAAGATCATATGTGTTGAATTAACAGGTCAGTGCATCATTTTACTAATTTCACCTAGGAGATAACTTGATCTGAAATCCATATGAAAAGAACAATTTACCTTTCCCACCTCCAAGTTCCCCATGATTAGCCTGATGTTTCACGGAAAGAGGTCAGTTTTGAACTTGTCTTCTGCATAGGTTTTCTGCTTTGAAATGTGAATAATTGAGGCATACAAGTTCTAGAAAATGGTCCAATCAATCATTTGCATAAAAGTTGCACAACAAAATGAGAGACAAGATTCTTCACTTCTTACTCCATATTAGTCAGTTCGTATTTATCATACACATCATTTTCTTCTCCTGGCTGAGTATCCGAGTGATGAATTTCAATAAAAACAATATAGGTCATTGCTCCAAGTACACCTCCCAGCATAGGTGCAACAATAGGGATCCACCACCAATTATTTCCAGCCCTGTAAGACAATTAAAAAAAACCCAACAACAACAACAACAAAAAAACACAAAACAAAACAAAACAAAAACAAACAAAAAAAAACACAAACCCAAAACAAACAAACAAAAAATAAAAAACAAACAAACAAACAAGAGTTACTGTTATTTGTTACTCTAGGGAACACCCTACCTTATTATTGGTAGTAAACAAAGATGGTGGCATGACACTGGTTATACTGTAGACCTTTCTATTTTGCCTCACTTTTCTGTAACTGGATGACACCCCTATCTGTCCTGACTCTGTTGTGATTGAAATGCTAAGTAACAACCACCAGGCAAGTTGGTCTATGTGTTGTACTTGCACCTTAGAAAATAAGGCCTCTTGACTGCATGTCTTTTTGGGGGGCAGGGGATAATTTCTCCCTTGTGGAAAACGTGCTGCATTGACTTACAATGAAATGAACAGGGACACACTTATTGCACAGCAATCTTGAGTGAGGCTGTTGCCAGATGCTCATGACTGATACAAATGTATGTTGTAAAAACAGGTTATCTCATCTGCATGGAGGTTTGCAGGTTCAGGCCTGCAATAGTATATATGGTGTTCATCTTGACAAGCATGATAGATTACACTTGATTTTATCTGCCTTAAAGAAGGTAATAAAACACAGTGACTATAAAGTGGATTATACTTGACTAGAGTGGTCAAGATTCAGATTTTGTGATTTAGTGTCTTTGTGTTTAAAATGTGGGGCCTTTCAGAAAGAAGTAGATGAGCATTTAGAAGTTTTATACACCTAAAACTTTACCTTTTTTTACAATTGCTGTGTTCAGTAAGAAAGTCCAGCATATTTACTCCACTGAAATGTTTCCATTTGCTTTGCGCAATTACTAGGATTTAATTTTAAATGTGTAGATTTATGAACATTTTTTAAAAAACAAGCCCACCATTAAACAGTATAAAAAAATAACAATCTCTTTATGCAGGAGACCTGGTTTGTAGAATTGCTCTCCCTTTCCTGGAGGTCCACACTCAGACAGTAAATTACTGAGTATTGGTTTCAGAGCACAGACTTTCTTAACTGTCCTGGTGCATGAAGGTGTTTTGATTTGATAACATGCTTTATTAATTGAATATGCTAGTCTGCAGTGAAAACCCAGCCGCCTCGATTTCATGCACACTGAAAATGGAGAAGTAACTTTTTTTTTTTTCTCTCAGAAATACAAAGCAACAAATTCGTCTGTGAGAGGAACTTTACAGGAAGCTGCCAGGGGAATTTTTAAACTGTAAGGATAATTATTCAGTACTCACTTGTATAGATGTATGCAGAAGTGAACTTGTGTTTAAGTCACAACACAAGAATAGAACAGGGCTAATCTCACAGTGCCCTATTGATGATAATATTCCTTGTTCAGAAATGCCTTGGATGAGTATATTTTGCCTTCGGATTTATTTATATTTTGCCCTGAGGATATAAAATAACTCCTGCTACTGTTCTACTGAGTTTATACATCTGTTTGTTGTTGAGTCATGAATGTCTGTTGAGCCCCTGATTTTTTGGAACAAGTATGGACTAAGGTTTTATTGAATTAATCAGCACAACAAAATCTGTATCAAGTACTTGCATGTATTCCTTTGTGTGTGCCTCTGTGTGTATGTGGGCATGTAATGAAGGTGGTTTTTGGCAGGTTTCTCTCTCAGCTTATTCCATAAACTGACATGTGCCTTGTTGGCTCCTGCATGACCTTCTCATGGCCTGAATTTGCAGCAGCTGCTGTCAGCTGCACTTTAGACACCCTCTGCTAAGATGATGGGTGTAAAGTCTTTATAGAGGGCAATGCCAAAGCTGAAATGAGATCAGGACACAGCTGAGTTATGAGTTTACATGACATTCAATACTTCTTCATTGACACAGGAGCAAGAGCTCTTTGTGACAAGCATAGTTTCACTGAAGAAGTCTCAGTTTCCTTATACCCTAGCTTTATCCTCGCTTAGAGCTTTGCTGCCAGCTTGGCAGGAAAACATCCAGCTATGCCTTTGTTGTCATCAGGTGTTTTTGCTGTTGGGCAGAGCAGGAGAGAGCCACCTGTGAAGGGGAGGAGACAGTGCATAGGCCTCGCAAGTGCCGTTTTGGTTGACTGCAAGAATTTCCAGGAAATTACAGCATGTAGGCTACATGGACTGGAAACTTTGGCCCATTTTAGGCTTGCAAATACATTTCTCACCTAGCCAACTGCTGTGGGGCAGTGAGATAACACTGTTTGCTGTAAGAAATGCCAGGATAACTCAGGCATTCAGCAGTGTGCAACGTGTCTGACCACTGTTCTATTCCTGGGAAGAATGCAAAATATTTCAGAGGCCACTTTGAAATCCAAATCTCGGTGTAGACAAGAGGTGTGCCTCCTGACTCCTTCCAAACTGCACTTTAGTCCGGGTGACTTGTCCGCGGGGCCGGCGGCCACGAGGTGTCAGCGTTACCGCGCCGGCGGCTCCCGGCGGCTCCCGGCGGCTCCCGGCGGCTCCCGGCGGCTCCCGGCGGCTCCCGGCGGCTCCCGGGCTCTGCTCGCCGCGGCGGAGGTGCGCTCTCACCGAGCGGGGCAAACACTGTCGTTGCTGCTGCCTTTGCCGGCCAGCCCCGGCCTCAGCAAAGGTGCAAAAGAACCCAGAATAAACTAGAAATGAAATATTCTGCGGCTAGCTTCAAATGCTGCTGTGAAATACTGATCTGTGGAGCCATTTCTCACTTTCTCGTTCCCATTTCGTGCTCCATTATGCTTGTCAAAATCCTGAGTCTGGTGTATTCAAAGCTCTGGCTGTTTTCTCACTACAGACAGAACTTCACTACCCAAAACTTTTAAGTTTATTAGAATATTAAGCACGTGCTTAAGGAAGACTCCTGGTTATCTCCATGGTTTTGGGACACTAGAAACATTTAAGCCTCTAAAGTCAGCAGTTGTCTCTAATGATGAGAACAGTTGCAATCTGTGGTACCTGCTTCCTGTTGAGGAACAGTTTGCAGGAGCAGGCTGCAGTGCTGACTACATCTGTTGTCTTGCCCTGGCTGGGGAAACCACACTGTAGCCTGTGTCCCCTGGCTTAATTCTCTTTTGGAAAGGAGGAGAGTTCACATGTATTCTGTGACTAGACCACAGTACAGCCAGGGTTCTATACTTTTTCAGCAACGTAATCGCCAACTTCATAATATATTACAGATTATAGTACATGACACTATAATTAACATCATAGTCAACAACAACTTACAATTAAATAGGCACAAGGGAGGAGAATCCTTGGAGAAGAGAATCTGTGCGCTGCTGTTTTTCAAAAAGTGCAGTTTAATGGTACAGTGGTAAGAGCTACTGGGGTGGAAAAGTTTAGAGGTAACTGGGCTAGAGAGCTGACATTCTGCTAGCAGCTCACCAGAGCTGTGTTACATCTGAGCTTTGGATCTGGCCTACAGCCATGCCAATTTTTTTTTTTTTTTTTTTGTAAGAGAAAAGCTTTGCTACTGCTCTCCTCTACTAAGCATGTGATTTGTGTAGATGGAACTAATACTAAATAAATACAGATTATTTGTACATGGTGAAGTAGCTAAAGTGAATTCTCTATTAACTACAGCTCTCTAGTGGTCTGCAGTACTTCTGGGGATTCCGACTTGTAAATAACTGGAAAAGATACTATACAAAAATAAACCAAAAGATCTACCTCCTGATGACAGATTACTCTTACTTAGATACCCCAGAGTGCCTCTTACACTGGATATGTGTAAACTGGATTTGATGTGCAAATAATTAGCTGTGCATTTGGCCAGCCAAGAGCGTGTGTGTGCGTGCGCACACGCATGCACAGGGATTTGGGAGTATGCTCTGAAATGTGGGAAAATGAAGGGAGCTTTCTTTCATTCACTCCTTCACTGCCAAGCAGGAAGTCAGGCTTTTAGATTGTTGTATATTTCTGCAATAACTCAGTAGTAATAATAGGCCAATCTGATATGTCTGTGTTTTTACAGCACGCAATAAATATTCCCACCTAACTCTCTCATGATTTAATTTTTTTTCTGAATGCTACAGGACAAGAGGAGAAAGCACTCATATTTTCAGTGACCTCTAAGATTCTCTAGTATTTTGGGAAGGCTCTGCATGAAACAATGATTAATATTAGAGATAATGTGTGTTTGATTTGCCCTAGGAGCAGGAAATCCGTTTTAAAGCCCAGTTCCTAGAGGATGTCTGGCTTAAAGTGCATGAATAGCTGCTTCAGGTATGCAAAGAATTACCTATATGTATATAAAGTATGACTTGGTACCATGTTGGATCAGGATCTTACTTTCCTAGGAAAAAGTTTTAGCCATGAGCATTTTATTTCATATCCAGGCATACTTACGTGAATACTTCCATCCCCCATCCTGCAATTGCTGTGAAGAGCCTTGGGCCTAGATCCCTGGCTGGGTTCATGGCACAGCCACTGTTCATTCCCAAGGAGCAAGTAAGAACAATTATAAGAAGTCCTACTGCAATTGGCTCCAGGCCCTTTGGTACGCCGTTATTTCTGGTGTCAAAAATAGCAAATATGGCCAGAAGAAGAACAGCTGTTGACATCACCTGGCCAATGCAAAGAAAAGAACGTTGAATAAATATGTGCAGATTCCTTCCAATAATGAAAGAGGGACTATGGCAGTTTTGTGTATTGTGGTGGCTTAGAGCTGGTATTTGGGTTTATCCTACTATACAGAGTAGCAAAATTTGGAACCCAGTGCCTCTCTACTTCACAGTAATGAGAAGCTTTGTTATCTGTGCTGAAAGACAAAGACAAGAAATGTGCTGAGGGCATTTGACAGAAAAAATATCTGCATCAACCTGGTGTGGAAAGAATAGAGGGTTCACACATAGACTCCATTGTGAGGTCTAATGTTTTGTTTCCACACTTTTCCCTATCAAATTAGCAGTTTCATTTACTTGATCTTTGGTAGTTCTGCTATACCAATACAATCTGATACACTGATATAAAAGTGTTTTAGGTGACTGTAGCTTATGCTGATAAATTAGACTAAATATGCACCTCTTTATCTAGGTATTATATAACAGAAGAAAAAAGAGTGAAGTCTACAAAGTCAAAACTGAGCAGCTAAGAAATTAGGAATTACCTAAATTAAGGTTGCATGTGTAACTGTAATGTGACCTCAGTATTCCATATGCTAATTGAGCTGATGAAGGAAATTTTCTTGGAACTACTTTGATGGAAGTGCTGCTCTGCTTAAATCAAATGCTTTGTAAATATCAATTTTGCTAATAATTAACTTGGGGAAAAGCAGACAAAAGTTTCAGTGATATCAAAATATTCCACTTCTATACTGATTTAAACAAGTTTAAGTTTAGTGGTTATAAAAATTATTTTTATTTCATCTGTTTTTAATTTTGTTTTAAAACATCTGTGGGTAAAAAGGTCTAATGGAAAAGACTGTTGACTGATCCAAAGATCAGAATTGTCCTCCTTACAAAATTTCAAAACCAGGTTTGGATTTTTTTTTAAATCATATTGCATAATCTTCAAGTCCTTTACGTAAGGAATTCCTGTGCTGCATCAATTCCTAGTTTTTCATAGCTTACTTAACGCAATATTTATTTCAGGTATGCCTGAAGAAAACGGAAAAATTGATTAGAAGTAGGTAGAAGATATGAAACTTGATTTTTCACTGTTGGGTAGGTGGGATTAGAGGATACAGGTTGGAAATAAAATGAATGTTTTTTCAGATTCAGTAATTTTAAAAATAACAATACAAATCTATTTACAAAGAGAAGTTTGAAGAGGAGGTTTCATGGTAGCAGAAAACCTAGTCATTCAAGGTGTGTTAAACTGGCTGCTTAATCATCACTTAATGAATAATAGGTTCACAAAATAGTCTATTTTTATGTAAATGGACATAGCTCTGCTGAAGTTTATGGAGAAACATTGATTTACTCTGGAGAAAACTTCTTATATATATTGCATTAAATACATGTAGAGTTCTTTTCACATACGTCATATTAATTGTTGTACAACTTGAAATTATCTTGCTTATAAAATATAACTAAAATGTGACCCCTGAAAACAGCATTGCATTCTCATTGCTCTTGTACACAGTGAAGTATGACCAAAATGGTGAGATTCATCATACCAGCTAGAGACCTGTGTATTTTTTTTATTGCTTAGTTTTAGTTTTCATTATGTTCAATTTGTAGAATCAAGACAGCAAATGCACTTACCTGATCTGCAAATCCATTCATGAGGGACAGATAGGGAGCTGGATATGTTGCAAAGATATGTGCTGTTGCATTAGGTCCTATGACTTCAAGTGTTCCGTTGCTATACTCCATAAAGGCATCTGTAGAAAACAGCCATTACCTGGTTGCACTTCTTCATAACCACTAGGTTTTCTAGAACTAGAATATATGTAGTATATATATGTGCACTTCACATTCTCAACTGAAACCTATGTTTTTTTCTGGGAGCACAGTTAACAGATTTGAGGTGATGTACTAATCATACCCTCCTGTCTCATCTCTCCTCCTGTGCCTTGAAGTACTTGTTGTATGTATCACAGCTTTCAAAATGGGGCTGTTTATTCCCCTGCTCATTGCTTCAAACTCAGTGCCAAGGAGCATTTTCTGATTCTGAACATAGTTGCATTATTCTGTAAGAGGTGCTATATTTGGCATAATGCCATGAAAAATGCATAGTGTCTTGATTGTACTGTTGTGGATTCCTAGACGCCAGGAATTACTGATATTCCATTTGACAGTTGTGCAATGACTTCTGGGAATTAACTCTCCTGGGAGACCTCCTCTTCTAAAGGAGTTTGAATTTTTCACTCTGGTGGGCTTTACCTCCAACTGCTATGCTAGTCATCCGAGATGTGAGGAGAGAGGCTAGCCCCAAAATTTCAGTTCTTGGTATATTTAAGTTAGCATATTTTTGTGTATATTGTTAATACATGTATATTTATAGCATATTTTAAATAGCATAATATGACTTCTGTATCAGAATAATTTGCTGCCTTGGCAAGCCCTGAAATGTTAGAAATAGGAAGACAGTAAGATGAAGAACTCAAAAATCTGCGTAGACAGACATGAATAACAAACCTTATGCCTTTATTTCACTGGTGGATCCAGTGATGAGGTGATACCTGTGAGTAAAGAAACAGCTCCCCATCTCCCATGGTAGCCATGGTAAGGATTGTTAGCTTTTGAAGCTAGCAGACAAATCTATTTCTCCTTGCTCCTGTTTTTTCTAGCTTTGCTTAAGGCCATGACATGGGTGCAGAGAGTATTTTGTTGTTTGCTTTGGTCAGGCTCTCTCATTTACAGTGTCAGATTATTCTGTTGCATTTAACTATTAGAAAAAAATAGGATAAGGAAAAGAAAATTTCTCAGTTGTGAATTATTTTGTACGTCTTTAGAAAGGCCTCGTTCAGTAGCCTAGCACTCTTTCAGGGCCATTGCTGAAAAGGAAAGCACCTAGCTCAAATGTGTGTATGGGGAAGGTGGAGGTGTTGAGCTCCTATGTCTGTTTTTTGACCAGTGAATTTTCAGCTCAATGAGTACACAACACTCCTGCAAGTTGCAGGAAAGAAAAAGTACAGAAGAGGCTTGGTAATTAATGAGAGGAGGGCAAAGTACTTGAGCAGAGATAGGGATATGAGAAAAAAATTGCGTTCCTGAATAACAGGAAGAAGTGTCTAACCCTAACCCTAACCCTAAATTCCCTATCTTCACTCCCTATCCTACTGCTACCCCTTGGCAGAACACAGTGAATCCACTGCCAGCCCCATGTGCATGTTGGTGTACTGCTGCATGCTGGCTGCAGCACTTATCTTGGCTGTCTGGCCTGAGGAAGACTTAGACTAAAGTAGAAATCCTGTTCTGGAATCCCCCAGTTTCCAGATTATAACACTAACCTTAAAACAAACAAACAACTCTCCCCCTCCCCCACACTCCAATCCCCAAACAAACAAAAAAAAAAAAAAAAAACAAAAAACCCCACCAAACCCAAACCAGTTCCTAAAGATTTTTCTGTTTGTGATTACTACTGGTACTGAGCACCTAGATGATATACAACAGGCATTTCCATTTTCATTTTGTCTCTGTTGCACCTAGACCCCGCACTGCCTGCAGACATAATGCCCATAAGAGAGAGGCTTTGGAAGAGATAGGCTGGGTCAGTAGAAGGAGTGTTGTAGCAGGTGACTGAAGCAATTGATCCAACTGAGTGGATTCATCAAGTCAGGCAGTCTGTTTCTAAGTTTTTTGCTTATGTGGCACAGTGTGTAAAAGAAACATCCTTCAAGGATACGGGTAATTTTTAATTCCCCCCTCCCTTCCAGTATGTGACCCCTTCATCGCTCTACCTGGAGTTCATTGCCTTGGAGAACTACTTCTCTAGGGTGGTCTGAAGTTTAGTCAGGAAGTACTTGATCTCATATCCTGTAACCTCAGTGAACGATGTTGGTGATACTTGCCTACAGGCACTTGGATCAGGTCTTTAATGTTTCTAATTTGCTTGGAAGATGAATAGCCCTATATCCTGGCTATTAAGTAATTTAAAATCCTTACTGAGAAGTACATGATCTCAGAGTATCTCATTTCCCATGAATAATTTTTCTAAATTTCAGAACATTTCCTGGAGTATTAGTGTTTCAGAAAAGTTGTAGGATACCTGGAATGCTTGAGCCTTTTTTCCCCCCCTCAAACTCTTTATGCTTCTTCCTTTCTTCTTTATGGTTTTAGCTTCAGTCCTGCCATTCTGTGTGAATAGAGTCCTCTGCCTGCTTGGTATTCATGGAAAAATTGGGGCCTTAGAGACTTCCTGACCTCTGGTTTGTCCTGTGAGCATGTCTAAGGTGTACTCACCGTAATAAATCCCAAAGACAGCTGCTGCTCCAATGAATGCTCCCAGGAGTTGTGCTAATATGTAAATTGGTAATTTGGTCCATTTTAATCTTCCAGTCACGCACATGGCTAATGAAACGGCTGGGTTTATGTGACCACCTGAAAAATAAATCACGAAATAAGTCATATGGATGACTCAGATGAGAATAGGTGAAGGATTTGTAAAAATGTGGGCACTTCTGGGCACGAGACTAGTATATACTTTTCTAGTTGTTATTTTGCAATTAAATGCTGACTGTGATTGAACTGAAACAAGTTGGATGAGATTAGAGGTGGGAGGGGAAAAGCCACCAAGATTCAGCTTTCCTCTTGATGTTTGCAGACTGCTATTTATCAGACTGTTGTTTTGCAGTATATAGTCTATAGATCTATAGACAACTTTTCTAGAAGAAGCCTAAATCTGCCCTATCAGTTGTGATGGGAGGGTCTATCATTCTGCACATATTGTCTCTCCTTAACGGCTCTGGTTTTTTATTTTTAAGGGAGGATTGGAGCAGCAGAGAGTTCTTTCAGTTTATCAAGCATGGATTAAGATTAAGGACAGTTACTGGCTTGATCATGTATCTTGAGGTAGATCTGGAGTACCCTTGATTTCAGTCATGTTTATGTCCCTGTCTTCAACCTGGGGTTACTTAGGAACTCAGTTTTTCATGAACATAAAATAAAATAATGTTAGAGCTGTCTGGCTTCATGCTGACTGTTGGTGAGCTATGCCTAGATGGGATCTGGGGCCAGCAGTGCATAGTTCTTCATCACACATTTTCGTCAAGCTCTTATACCCTCCAAGAAAGGTCCATGATAAGGAAACTGATAAAGTAGCTACGCTGAAACAGAGAGTTCTATTTCCTGTGGAATTTGTATTTAGGAGTAGCTATACCTAAACTCACACATGGAAAATATTTCAGCAACATTGGAATTCTTTGTGACAATTTCTAAAATATATTTATGATGTCACATGTTAGTCACTTCACTCTACATCTCTTATCAACACGGGAAAAAAAGTGTTGAATGCTTTTAGAAAACTTCATTTTTTACAAATATGTAGTTGATACTTAAGAAATACAAATTGTCAAATAAATAAACAGATGAAACAGTACTCTACAGTAAAAATACAGTAAAACTCAAGTTTTGCAAGGACATAGAGAATTCTTTGCTTACCTCCCAGGTAAAGTCTCATTTCAGCCTGTGTGGTTACCAGAAAAAAATGGCCTTTGTCTTTAATAAAATATTTAAAAGAGCATGACCTTTGTCTGTCAAAGGCTAGTGATGGAGAAAGGCCCTCTATGTACAGTTTCTGTGTTTGTTTGCTCTTCAGGTCAGTGAGTCATTATCTTATGAAATCCAGGCACCTTTGATACATAATGAACTGACAAACACAGATAACAAGCTGGATAAAACTTTCTTTGTATCATTTCCAAAAGTCTGACCTGGTAATACCAGTCTTGAATTAATTTTGAATTCCTCACTGTGTTTCAAATTCTTCAGCACAGAGAAAATAGATGGATGGCACCTTATTTAACAGCCCTTCATGTGAATTTTGATAAATTGTTATCTTGTCTTTTGTTCTCTACTCTGTCTGGAATTAATCATTTTCCTTTCTTTCAACACCTGATACTGTTCCCCACCTGTATATAATACAGGGTGATTATGATGGTCAGAACAAGTAGTAATAATATTAGAGATGTCTGCTTAACATTAAATCTGAAAAGGAAAAAGCTAGTTGAAGGCTCTCACGCTGACATAGGGGAGTTAAAAGATTCTTGGTTCCTGTGCCACTAGTAGTTTCCTGGTTAAAGAAAAAAAAAAAAAAGTCTGCTTTGGACAGTGTGTTCCCCATTCTTTTGCAGTTGCAGTGATCATGAGTTTGAAATGTTAAGTTGGAAAAGATGGTGGGAAATTATTGAGACATTGTGGGAAATTAGAAGAAAAGCAAAAAGGGGAATTTTCCTAGATGAAAGGGCTTAAATTCACCAAGTGTAAGGACAATATATTTTATGTTCCAATGAATTTAGAATTTCATAATGAACTGATGCAAAGTATTTTAGCAGTACTTAAACACGAGACTTCATGGCCGAAGAGCCACAGAATTTGCTAACAGATTCTATATAGAAATTGATATTCTAAAGTGTCCACTAGTAATCATATGTTGGATAGTCACAGCCTATTGAAATATTTGTTCCTATTCTTTCACAGAGAAAATGCACTGCATGCAGAATCCTTTGTCATGGGAAAAACACAGGAAGCACAATACTGCAACATCTGCAACTGCTCTGCCCTGCTGGGATTGAACTCTAATCTTCTATATAATGGAGATGAATATCCCTTAAAGTTACAAATGTAGGACAGGTTAGTGTCTTTACAAGTTTTTTGTCATGATACTGCATTAGAAGAATTTATGTGCCTACATGTAAAATAAAAGTTGTAGTTTAAAATTATTCAGATAATAGGAATGTACTGCTGAATTAACTTTGTGTGGTATTTAGGAACCATTCTTCTCTGTTTCAATGACAGTAACAAGACCTGCCTGTTTTGCAGTACCTTGAGGACTTTCTAATGTGAACTTAGAGACCTCCTCATGTATGGTATCTCTGTAAATGAATTTGTACAAGAGAAGAGAAATGGCCACCGTAATTTCTGCTATAACAACTATTTATAATGGCCTAGTTATACCTAGAGATATCTGCCCAGATTGGCTTTACCAAGGATAAAAAATGCCTCTATGAGAACTAGAGTACAAGGGCACCATTTGCTTTAAGAGGGTAATGTAAACTCCACATACAACATGGATTATTGTGTATTATAATACACAACACTGTGTATTACTGCAATCCATCATTTTCTATTTTAAATGGAAAATTTAAATGTTAAAAGCAGTTATACTAATATTTCTGATATTAATTTGGCCAAACTGAATGGTGGAAATAGGAGACAAAGCACCATCCAATATGGCACGTGTAGACACTGATTAGTTAGCCCAGCTTCAGACAAAAGAGAGATTCCTGACCAATATATATTGAGGAAAAGTTACAGCAGAAACAAAGGGGCAATGGCAGTACATTGACAGTGTATCACAGAATGTATTGCTAGTACTGAATCTTTTTGCTGTTTCTTCAAATAAGCAGGCAGAAGCAGACTTGCTACTACCTGTCATAGGGCACGAAGAGATAAATTGCACTCTCTAAGGTGAACCCTGCTCATTATACCCATTAGTGGCTCCTTCTACCTAGCTGGCAACAATTTTAGCTGGCGACTGCTGGATTGTGTAAGCTTTTCATGGTTATTTCCTTAAACACAGTGCCTATGCTGTCCAGGATCATCTCTATTGGACAGAATTTTCAAAGCAAGACTGAGCAGATTTCTGGATTGCACAGACCACTTTCTATAAAAGCCAGAGGTTTGCCAAGGTTTGCACACTGTAGTTCAGATCAGAATTTGATGGAAGATTTTGTCAAACACAAAGAATAGAAGGAAACAAAACAAGCATAAAAGATTTACTAGCGAAACTCTGGTGCAAACTCTGCTGCAATAGTGCTTGCTATTGCTAGATACATAATTGTTTATACCATGAAATGGAAGTAACTTAATAAGGTAGCATTAAAACCATGGCAATAAATGCTATATAAGAAAAAAAAGTCACTTACCAGAAACCCCTCCAGACACATACACTGCTATGGTGACTGCCATTGCAAATCCAATTGATATTGTCATGGGCCCACCATGGACTCCTCGGCTAAGGACAGCCTGTCCCACACACCCACATCCAAGTGCCTGTATTTTGAAAGATAAATGTAAAACTATGAGTGTGTCTTTCAAATCTTATTGATTAGTTTGCAACTCCTGCTGCTGTACAGGTATAGCTGAAAATGTTATTAAATATTGAAACAATACTAGAATTCGAGATTAGTGGCATGTGTGCCATTGTTGTCTTTGCTGCAATAAACATTTGCTCTTTACGTTCTCCTGCTCTGTGTTCAGGAGGAATGCCTGCTAATAAGGACTTCTCTCCCCCCAGAAAACAGTTTTCAAGTACAACAATGGGATACAGATCAGAACTTGGAGCCTAAACAAGATCCCACAGCCTCCCCAACAAATCTCTGCATCTGAAAGTGAAGAGGGAATTAATTCTATGTGGTAAGTTTTCAGTTCCAGATTGTTGTTATAAGCAATGAAAAAATTACTATAAAAGTTTGAAAGATAGTTGAAAAACCTTTTAATGTTTAATGCTGAAACTCTGGATGAGACAACTTTCTGGAGATTAGAGTGTGTGTTACTGTTATGCTGCCTTGATGTCATATATTGCTCTATTAAAATATTTTACTGGCTCTGCAGCTTGAACAGTTAACTGAAGTGGGGATGCCTGAATAAATCACACTGTAATATTCTCAATGGATTTGAACTAGTTTCCATTTTATATTGGTTCCCCTCACAATGAAGTTCAGCAACACGTTAAAATGTAAACTTAAGATTATATTTATTCAGTTCTAAAGCTTCTGCTTATCTTCAAGCATATACTTAGGTCCTATTAAAGTTGGTAGGAAAGATTTTTCAAAGGTACAGAAGGCCTTTAGTTTAAGATAGACTAGCTGACTTCTTTCTGCCAGAAATCAATTTTTATCTTTGAAAATCTCCTTTTTGAATATCTACCTAAGTGCTTTGCTGAATAAGGACCTAACACGCTATGGAAGGTATGAAATAATATCTGTAGTCTGAAAATTTTTGCTTCTCTGCAACTGTAAGTGATCTGAATCATACCATTTCTGGGATGTGACTAGTTTTATCTTGAGCAATCTTAATTACTTTGATGTTAAATTGGAGATAGATATATATATATAAAAATATATATATATATATATGTTCCTCCTTTGATGGTACATGGGATTCTTATTTTTTTTCTTCCTATAAAATCATTCCATCTTAGCCAGTGCAGGTGCTTTGGTTTATCTCCTTGCTTCAGTTTTGTGTTCTGACATTATTGTGTGTCACAAATGACTGTACTATAAATATTCTTCCTAACTATGCATATTTGAATACATAAAATTTAGTCCTTTTAGAAATGCTTATTTTTCAGTTGCAACTGCACAGTAATGGGAAAATCTCCCCTGCCTTAGAAACAGACTATACCAAAAATATTTGGTGATTGAGGTTTAAGAAGAAAGTCCCGCTAGAATAGATGCAATTTAAGCAGGCAAAATCATTTTTTTGTTTCCATTGCTTCCCCAAGGTTTTTAACTAATACCAAAATGTGACAGAAAAGCTCTCAGTAAAATTACTCTCTTAAGCAGCTTTGCAATGCAGACAGAGTTTCTGTTATAAAAGTGCCCTGAGACTGTGTCATATATCCAGGTGCAGTTCTTGCCTTGAGGTTATGATCATGCAAGCAAACAAAACACTGTCTGGTGCCAAAGTGCTCCAGCTGTCAGGTTACGTAAGGGTAGGGTGGTTGTAGATAGCAGTGATTTATTGGGCTGTATAATTGGAAGTTACAAGACATATTCCAAGCTGCAGTCAACTGCTGTGCAATGGATGACGTAGGCTTACGTTAGGCCTATGTTCTCTCACTGCTATTAGTGTCATATACCTAGCGGTTATAACAGTGAGCACAAATGCATATACAGATATAAAACCAAAACAAGATACATTTTTAGTTGTTCGCAGATGAAATGACATAGTTTTTTTTAAACTTCATATGAGACAATTCTACTCATTATGTATTTATATGTTTAATTAATATGGAAAGAATGGGTATACTGGAATTTATAAAGTTTAAGATTAGGGCACAAGACTAGAAGAGGTGAAACTAGCATGCTCTGGCCTTCATTTTTCAGACTTCTTAAAGGGAGCGTTGCAGAAATTGCACCAAGCAAGATTTCCTGAAAGATATGGCTCAGATGTGGGGCAAGTTCAGTAGGCCGGTCTGGGGCCCTGTGTACACTGGGGTGCAGTTTGCATTCAGGCAAGCAGTTAGTTCTACAGGTATGCACTTGTGTTCTGAAATGGCATAGACAAAGCTTTGCAGCTTCAAAGAAAAGGCCATTATTTTGAAAATACTACCCCTTTCTGGAAGGATGATGAAAAAAGAGAACAGGAGTGGGGGAGATGGGTATACAAAAGGATAAAGAACAGTAACCACATCTCTGTATATCAACTACTAATTCACAAGGGGGAAGGAAATAGCAGAAGGAGACTGTGGCCTCCTCTTCCTGATTACCAGAACTGAGGAGAATCATACAGAAACATCTGTGTTTCTTGTGTAATAGATTCTGCTCTTCACGTCATAGGGAAATATGCAACTCCAGACACTCCATTTTTGTGCTAACCAGTGTCAGAAAACTCAGTCTACAAAGAAGGTGGCATACAAGCCAGCATGAATGCAGACGTTGGTAAATGACTCCCTGCTCATGTACAATGAAAGAACATTACTGCAGGCACCTTCACTGTGTGCCCATTCTGGGATGGGGGAACTGGGAACTGAACCTGCAAATCTGAGCCATGTCACAGCAATATTTTCTCCATCTGCTGTCATTTTAAGGAGAGAAAAAAAATTTCTCATACCTACTGTAGCTAGGTTGACATAACTGGAAACTATCACCTAATCATGTAATTACATGAGCAGCAATTTAATACCCTGTGAATCCTTGCTTGGCTGAGTTAAGACCAACTAGATCATCAAGTTGTAACTAAATATTCTAAGTTTCTAGGCTAAACTCATCCACCAGCTGCACCCACACAAACTCATTGATTGAAGCACATGGAGTTGATGGGAGTTTAATTTACAGAATATAGCCAGATCTCTTTATCTTATCTTATGTTACCAGGATTTCATCTTAGCAGTTGTCTACAGCCTGATCTGTTTAAATTTACTGGAGTAGTTTCAGTAAAGACTTTTAATTCACAAAGTAATTAGATCACTGTCATAAATAACATGTTTGGGTGTGGAAAAAGTGTCTGCATATTCTCTGCCTGAAAACTTGCTTCATAGACATTAAATCCTTCTCTTTGTCTTGGGTAACAAGGCTGATGTTAGGAAAGGAAAACAACTGGCCTCCAATTAACATAATGCCTTGTTACCTCCTGAAAGCCTGCAGAACTTTATCTCTATCCCATTTATCAGAGAGACTAAAGATAATTTTGCCTCCATCTGTGCTATTTTCAGGATTTTTGCAAATGCTTGTAACAGCATTTTTCAGTGTAAATAGGATTTCTTGCAAGATCTGAACCTAGAATTTTAGGGAATGTATTCCTCTACATGGCCTGTAAAGTTTTAGACATCTCAAAGCAGAATATTTATATAAGAAAGGCCCCTTATTATTGAACAGATCTGGTGGTAGTGTGCATTCACAGCCATGCGTTCTTATTGTAACATTAAAGAAGCAGCCAAGTCTCCTGCTTTTTAGCAATGTGGAGACAATGATGTGTGTTTTATATCTTGTACATCACCAGCTGCCAAGCTGTGGTGAGTTACATACTTACAGTGGGGTACCATAGCTGGCCCTGCAGATGGAATATAGCCTCAATGGCTGCACAACTGATGTTGATCTACACAAATAGAAGAATTCAGCGTGCTACAAGTAATACAGAGTCAGTAGTTACAAAAAAAAAAAAAAAAAAAATTTAATTATGAACTGTACGCTTCCAATCAGGAAGCACTAGAAAAATAGTTCAGAATTTTTATTTTGGTCAGTTTTCAGGACAGAATCATACTTAAACAACCACAGCTAATTATGAAGAGTCTCCAAGGATCCCTCCACCGATTCACAATTTTCAGTAAGGATGCCTTCGTTCAGAAACCCTGCCCCTCTCCCACACCACACTCCCACCTGTGTTCTCCTACTGTTCCCCAGACAGACATTTCCTGCTAGCCTGTGACTTGTCTGCTCTCCTTTTTCAGACTGGACAGACCTGCAGTGCTGCTCTGGATTCTGCTGCACCTGTGCATGTTCCTGTGCGCAGTGCTGTGAAGGGGACAGGCTCTCAGGGCCAGTGCCACGTGTCAGGCTCCAGCTGTGTGCTTGCAGTGAGTGTCCTTCTGCTATCCTAAAGTTACCTGTTCTGAGTCTGTGGAAGCGGAATGATATTGCTGGGACATTCGAGGACATGAGACAAGCCCTGGTATTTCACTTCTTAGGGAAACCTCCATAACTTCTCCAAGCAGTCAGACTTGGCACGGCATATTCATATTTAGGCCCTTAAAAGCAGGGATACAGGCAGAGTGTCCTTCAGGGATTGGGAGAAGTTGGTTGCATTTGCCCTTCTATGCAGGTAGGGATTTCTTTGGCCAAAATTGCCCGTGAAAATGTTAGAGGGTTGTTTGCTGTTTACTGTAGTCATGTACAGTTCCCCCTGCTCCCCATTAATATTTCTCTGTATGGTTAGTTTGGGTGTTGCTTATAAAAGTAGCAAATAAACTTTTCAGATAGGAGGCTGATTACTGAATTGATGGTGTCCTTCTAAAGTTCTTTAATTTGAAGTGTATTTTAGAACCCACTTTCATTTCCAATCTCTTTATTTACAAAGCAAGTCTGCTTAAAAATTTATCTGTTGCATTTCATAATAAGGTGTTTTGTAATGGATTAGGATCTCTTTCCATATAGAGCCATATTTTTGCTGTTTGTGTGTTATGTAGGGCTTTAATTCAGACTGTGCTCCTAAGCATTCTTTCAGTATGAACAGTAATGCTAACAGCAACAAAAATAGAGACACATTAGATCTATTAAAATCCAGGGCATTAGCTCTGCAAAAATTCAAGTTACAAAAATTCCCATTCTTCC